ACACGGACCCTGAGGTCACCCCAGCAACGCACAGCAGCTCCACGTGCCCCAAATCAACTCGAGATGAGGCCCGATTCCCCTGCCTTGACTCCAGAGCCATCCCCCGTTCCCCATTCAACACGACCAGTGGCTTGACTTCCTTCAGGTAACTCCAGAGATGCCCCGAGAACACTGTCCCAAGTCTAGAGGAACACCAACTTCAGCACAGCAACTCGAGGAATGCTCCGTGTACCCCAAATCGTCTCGAGATGAGAGCTGATTCCCTGGCTTAGTATCAAGACGTATGCCAAATCTGGAGAAGCACCTCAAGAGGAGGCCTCTCGTTCCCTGCGTGAGTGCCGGCCCGGTCGGGTCGGGGGAGAGGAGGGAGGGCGGGGGAGGGAGAGGCGACCCGGGAGTCGTTGTGGGCCGTGGGCCGGACCTGGTCCCGGGAAGGCGGGAGCCAGGGCCGGGCCGAGGGGCTTGGCGGGCCGTTAGCGGGCCGCGCCGGCTGTAGGGTCTCCTCCCCTGCCGGACTTGCGCGCCCCGGCGCTAGGAGCGTCCGGTGCTGTGCCCACCCCGCTCCAGCTCGCGTCTCCTGACTCCAGTTAGGTCAGGCTCGGAGTCCCGTGGCCGCGGCTCTGGCCCCCAACGCGCGGCGGCCGCCCGGCTCGCCTTTCTTTCTTCCCTCGCCTTCCTCTCCTCTTGCCTCACCCTCCCCCTTTCTTTCACGTTGCTGGGGTTTTGCTTTTTTTGTTGTTATTTTGTGCTTTAGGGGTTTTGTTCCTCAGCCCGAGCTCATGGGTGTACATTATCATGCTCCTCTTTTGTAGAGCAACCGGACGGCCATGGAGGCCGAAGAGACGATGGAATGCCTTCAGGAGTTCCCTGAACATCATAAAATGATCCTGGACCGATTGAATGAACAGCGAGAGCAGGACCGGTTTACTGACATCACCCTGATTGTCGACGGACACCATTTTAAGGCCCACAAGGCTGTTTTGGCTGCTTGCAGCAAGTTCTTCTATAAATTCTTTCAGGAGTTTACTCAGGAACCTTTGGTGGAGATAGAAGGTGTTAGTAAAATGGCCTTTCGTCGTTTGATTGAGTTCACATATACAGCAAAGTTAATGATACAAGGAGAAGAAGAAGCCAATGATGTATGGAAATCAGCAGAGTTTCTACAGATGCTAGAAGCTATCAAAGCCCTTGAAGTCAGAAACAAAGAAAACTCAGCTCCACTAGAGGAAAATACCACAGGGAAAAATGAAGCAAAAAAAGAAAGATTGCAGAAACTTCAAATGTTATCACTGAGTCATTGCCATCTGCAGAATCTGAACCTTTTGAAATTGAGGTGGAGATTGCCGAAGGCACAATCGAAGTGGAAGATGAAGGCATCGAAACGTTGGAGGAAGTGGCTTCTGCCAAGCAGTCCATAAAGTACATTCAGAGCACAGGTTCCTCTGATGATTCCGCTCTGGCATTGTTGGCAGATATTACCAGCAAGTACCGCCAAGGCGATAGAAAAGGGCAGATTAAAGATGAAGACGGCTGTGCATCTGACCCCACAAGCAAACAGGTAGAAGGAACACATGAAATCACACTCCACTGAGAGTTTCAAGTGTGAAATATGCAATAAAATGTATCTTCGGGAGAGCGCGTGGAAACAGCACCTCAGTTGTTACCACCTGGAAGAAGGTGGAGTCAGTAAGGAGCAGAGAACTGGGAAAAAAATACACATATGTCAGTACTGTGAGAAGCAGTTTGACCACTTTGGACATTTTAAAGAGCATCTTCGAAAACATACAGGTGAAAAACCTTTTGAATGTCCAAATTGTCATGAACGATTTGCTAGAAATAGTAGCCTCAAATGTCACTTGACTGCATGCCAAACTGGAGTGGGAGCAAAAAAGGGGAGAAAGAAGCTCTATGAATGTCAGGTCTGTAATAGTGTGTTTCACAGCTGGGACCAGTTCAAAGATCACCTGGTGATACACACTGGAGATAAACCCAACCATTGTACTCTGTGTGACTTGTGGTTTATGCAAGGAAATGAATTAAGGAGGCATCTCAGTGATACTCATAATATTTCAGAGCGCCTGGTAACTGAAGAAGTTCTTTCAGTAGAAACACGTGTGCAAACTGAACCTGTGACGTCAATGACTATTATAGAACAAGTTGGGAAGGTGCATGTGTTACCACTGCTCCAGGTTCAGGTGGACTCAGCACAAGTGACTGTGGAACAGGTCCATCCAGATCTGCTCCAGGACAGCCAAGTGCACGAGTCGCACATAAGTGAGCTTCCAGAGCAGGTCCAGGTAAGTTATCTAGAAGTGGGGCGAATTCAGACTGAAGAAGGTACTGAAGTCCATGTAGAGGAGCTGCATGTTGAACGGGTAAATCAGATGCCAGTGGAAGTACAAACTGAGCTTCTAGAAGCAGACTTGGATCAAGTGACCCCTGAAATCATGAACCAAGAGGAGAGAGAGCCTACCCAGGCAGATGCTGCTGAGGCTGCTACAGAAGAACACGAAGATGCTGAGGCTTTAGAGACCAAATCAACAGTGGATTCCCAAGCCGAAAAGGCAGGAAATGAGAACAGAACACCTATGCCAGTTTTAGAATGAAATAACAAATGCATATATTTTTAAAGTTATCTGTTGGGTTTTTCAACTGATGATGGGCAGTGTGACTGTCCTTACGCTAACAGACATGTGGACCAAAGTTAAACTTTCCTGGTGTGCTGAACTGTTTCTATGGAAGCAGACTGATTTCCCCCCACTTTGCCACAGAGGAGGGAACTTTCCCATAAGTGAATGGGAAGCTTTGAGAAGTATATTTCTAGAAAACTTAAAATGGATTACATTCTTATTATATAGTTGGGTACGAATGTATATTTTCATTGTGGTAAGAGTTCTTACTCTCCTTCCCTGGACATGTCCTTCTTCAAGTCCCCTCCCCCCCCCGCCCCATGTTGTAAAATCAAATGTAAAATCATTAGAATACAAGTTTATGTATTCTAATGCATGTTAGAAAATTTGAATATATAGGAAACAAGACTGCATGAAGAAAAGTGCATTGTTACTGTGCAGTTAAATTTTGGCTTCTGGCTTCCTTTAGCTTGAACAACATCCTTGTCTGCCCTGATGGATAGTAATAGATGTCATCTCTGCAACAGAAACAGAATGGTGGTGGCGAATTTCTAGAATGTTTAAAAAAAACACACACACACCCATGTGCCTTTTCAAAACCAACTAAACTTCTATAAAGCATCTCTAGTTCTTTCAAAATTTGTGTTGTAAGCAGTGTAGGTGATGCTGTAGTACTTTACATTTTTTTGCCTATAATGACAGCTACCAATTCTTTTTCACTTAGATTGAGAAATTTCATTTAATGGCAGCTGAAGGGCCATTTTCAATTGGGAAAATTCATGTATATCTGTGGTAAACTTTATTTTGATAAAAAGTTGCACTAGTAATTTTACCACCAGATGAAAACAAGATGAGCATCATTTAAAAATTAATGTATTTAAAACAAAGTACAGAGAAAAACATGTATATAATATATCAGGCTTTGTTTTGAATGAATCTTTTCCCCCAATCCTTAATATAAAGATCGTGTGCTATAATTTTTAAAGCCATACAAATAAGAATGCTAAACTGTGGACTTAAAAGTAGGTGTGTAAATATTTTTAATCAGTATTACATGGAAAATAAAATATAACAACTACAGAAAATAAACCAATATGCTCTTTTCTTTACCTGTTAAATATTGGGAGATACTTATATTTTTAAAGTAAACTTTAAAATTAAAAAAAAAAAAAAGAGGAGGATTCCCTCAGCAATAGGTATGTGGGAAGGACCCCGAGTTTGCTGCCTCAAGTGGAATATACAGCGAGAAGCCCTAACGTGAAAGGAGGCCGGATTTCCTTGCAGTGGCTTGAATACAGGCTCGTCTTTCATCTCACAACATGAAGGGATGTCTGAATCCCCTGTGGAGACCTTAGAGAAAGCCCTAGGTCCCTGCCTCATTTTGACGGAAGGCCTCACATCTCGTTGACACCTCGAGAGGCACGCGGAGTTCACTGCTTCAAAAGGTGACGATGCCTGACTCCTCTTGAATACTGATAGGAATCCCAAAATCCCTGTGGCTACAGGAAAGGGTCCTTGGGGGCCCTGCCTCACCTCGAGAAGCGTCCCTTTTGCCTGGCCAAGCCTCGAAGAGATTCGTGAGGTGTCCCTCGTTACTAGACAGGAGTCCTGACGTCACTGAATAAACACGTGTTTTGAAGGGCCATCCCCGCCGTAACTCGAGAACATACCCCAGGTCCCCGCCGCAACTCGAGAAAAACCATGAGACTTCACCTTAGATGCGATATGAGGCCCGATTCCACTGCATTGCTTGCAGAGCAATTCCGTGATCCCCATTAAACAAGTCAGGAGCTTCGACTTGCTTAATGGATCTCGAGAGAGTCCCCAAGTACACTGTCACAAGTCTAGACGGATCCTGAGGTCACCCCAGCAACGCACAGCAGCTCCATGTGCCCCAAATCAACTCCAGATGAGGCCCGATTCCCCTGCATTGACTCCAGAGCCATCCCCCGTTCCACATTCAACACGACCAGTCGCTTGACTTCCTTCAGGAACTCCAGAGATGCCCAGAGAACACTGTTCCAAGTCTAGAGGAACACCAACTTCAGCACAGCAACTCGAGGAATGCTCCGTGTACCCCAAATCGTCTCGAGATGAGAGCTGATTTCCTGGCTTTGGCTCAAGACGTATGCCAACTCTCCAGAAGCACCTCAAGAGTAGGCTTCTCTCAGAAATAGGTGTGTGTGACGGACCCCGAGTTTGCTGCCTCAAGGGGAATATACAGCGAGAAGCCCTAACTTGAAAGGAGGCCGGATTTCCTTGCAGTGGCTTGAATACAGGCTCATCTTTCATCTCACAACATGAAAGGATGTCTGAATCCCTTGTGGAGACCTTAGAGAAAGCTCTAGGCCCGTGCCTCATTTTGACGGAATGCCTCACATCCCGTTGACACCTCGAGAGGCAGGCGGAGTTCACTGCTTCAAAAGGTGACGATGCCTGACTCCTCTTGAATACTGATAGGAATCCCAAAATCCCTGTGGCTACTGGAAAGGGTCCTTGGGTGCCCTGCCTCACCTCGAGAAGCATCGCTTTTGCCCTGGCAAGCCTCGAAGAGATTCCGGAGGTGTCCCTCGTTACTAGACAGGAGTCCTGACGTCAGTGAATAAACACGTATTTTGAAGGGCCATCCCCGCCGTAACTCGAGAACATACCCAAGTTCCCTGCCGCAAATCGAGAAAAACCTTGAGACTTCCCCCTAGAGGCGAGATGAGGCCCCATTCCCCTGCAGTGCATGCAGAGCTATTCCGTGATCCCCATCAAACAAGTCAGGAGCTTCGACTTGCTTAATGGATCTCGAGACAGTCCCCAAGTACACTGTCACAAGTCTACACGGACCCTGAGGTCACCCCAGCAACGCACAGCAGCTCCACGTGCCCCAAATCAACTCGAGATGAGGCCCGATTCCCCTGCCTTGACTCCAGAGCCATCCCCCGTTCCCCATTCAACACGACCAGTGGCTTGACTTCCTTCAGGTAACTCCAGAGATGCCCCGAGAACACTGTCCCAAGTCTAGAGGAACACCAACTTCAGCACAGCAACTCGAGGAATGCTCCGTGTACCCCAAATCGTCTCGAGATGAGAGCTGATTCCCTGGCTTAGTATCAAGACGTATGCCAACTCTCCAGAAGCACCTCAAGAGGAGGCCTCTCGTTCCCTGCGTGAGTGCCGGCCCGGTCCGGTCGGGGGAGAGGAGGGAGGGCGGGGGAGGGAGAGGCGACCCGGGAGTCGTTGTGGGCCGTGGGCCGGACCTGGTCCCGGGAAGGCGGGAGCCAGGGCCGGGCCGAGGGGCTTGGCGGGCCGTTAGCGGGCCGCGCCGGCTGTAGGGTCTCCTCCCCTGCCGGACTTGCGCGCCCCGGCGCTAGGAGCGTCCGGTGCTGTGCCCACCCCGCTCCAGCTCGCGTCTCCTGACTCCAGTTAGGTCAGGCTCGGAGTCCCGTGGCCGCGGCTCTGGCCCCCAACGCGCGGCGGCCGCCCGGCTCGCCTTTCTTTCTTCCCTCGCCTTCCTCTCCTCTTGCCTCACCCTCCCCCTTTCTTTCACGTTGCTGGGGTTTTGCTTTTTTTGTTGTTATTTTGTGCTTTAGGGGTTTTGTTCCTCAGCCCGAGCTCATGGGTGTACATTATCATGCTCCTCTTTTGTAGAGCAACCGGACGGCCATGGAGGCCGAAGAGACGATGGAATGCCTTCAGGAGTTCCCTGAACATCATAAAATGATCCTGGACCGATTGAATGAACAGCGAGAGCAGGACCGGTTTACTGACATCACCCTGATTGTCGACGGACACCATTTTAAGGCCCACAAGGCTGTTTTGGCTGCTTGCAGCAAGTTCTTCTATAAATTCTTTCAGGAGTTTACTCAGGAACCTTTGGTGGAGATAGAAGGTGTTAGTAAAATGGCCTTTCGTCGTTTGATTGAGTTCACATATACAGCAAAGTTAATGATACAAGGAGAAGAAGAAGCCAATGATGTATGGAAATCAGCAGAGTTTCTACAGATGCTAGAAGCTATCAAAGCCCTTGAAGTCAGAAACAAAGAAAACTCAGCTCCACTAGAGGAAAATACCACAGGGAAAAATGAAGCAAAAAAAGAAAGATTGCAGAAACTTCAAATGTTATCACTGAGTCATTGCCATCTGCAGAATCTGAACCTTTTGAAATTGAGGTGGAGATTGCCGAAGGCACAATCGAAGTGGAAGATGAAGGCATCGAAACGTTGGAGGAAGTGGCTTCTGCCAAGCAGTCCATAAAGTACATTCAGAGCACAGGTTCCTCTGATGATTCCGCTCTGGCATTGTTGGCAGATATTACCAGCAAGTACCGCCAAGGCGATAGAAAAGGGCAGATTAAAGATGAAGACGGCTGTGCATCTGACCCCACAAGCAAACAGGTAGAAGGAACACATGAAATCACACTCCACTGAGAGTTTCAAGTGTGAAATATGCAATAAAATGTATCTTCGGGAGAGCGCGTGGAAACAGCACCTCAGTTGTTACCACCTGGAAGAAGGTGGAGTCAGTAAGGAGCAGAGAACTGGGAAAAAAATACACATATGTCAGTACTGTGAGAAGCAGTTTGACCACTTTGGACATTTTAAAGAGCATCTTCGAAAACATACAGGTGAAAAACCTTTTGAATGTCCAAATTGTCATGAACGATTTGCTAGAAATAGTAGCCTCAAATGTCACTTGACTGCATGCCAAACTGGAGTGGGAGCAAAAAAGGGGAGAAAGAAGCTCTATGAATGTCAGGTCTGTAATAGTGTGTTTCACAGCTGGGACCAGTTCAAAGATCACCTGGTGATACACACTGGAGATAAACCCAACCATTGTACTCTGTGTGACTTGTGGTTTATGCAAGGAAATGAATTAAGGAGGCATCTCAGTGATACTCATAATATTTCAGAGCGCCTGGTAACTGAAGAAGTTCTTTCAGTAGAAACACGTGTGCAAACTGAACCTGTGACGTCAATGACTATTATAGAACAAGTTGGGAAGGTGCATGTGTTACCACTGCTCCAGGTTCAGGTGGACTCAGCACAAGTGACTGTGGAACAGGTCCATCCAGATCTGCTCCAGGACAGCCAAGTGCACGAGTCGCACATAAGTGAGCTTCCAGAGCAGGTCCAGGTAAGTTATCTAGAAGTGGGGCGAATTCAGACTGAAGAAGGTACTGAAGTCCATGTAGAGGAGCTGCATGTTGAACGGGTAAATCAGATGCCAGTGGAAGTACAAACTGAGCTTCTAGAAGCAGACTTGGATCAAGTGACCCCTGAAATCATGAACCAAGAGGAGAGAGAGCCTACCCAGGCAGATGCTGCTGAGGCTGCTACAGAAGAACACGAAGATGCTGAGGCTTTAGAGACCAAATCAACAGTGGATTCCCAAGCCGAAAAGGCAGGAAATGAGAACAGAACACCTATGCCAGTTTTAGAATGAAATAACAAATGCATATATTTTTAAAGTTATCTGTTGGGTTTTTCAACTGATGATGGGCAGTGTGACTGTCCTTACGCTAACAGACATGTGGACCAAAGTTAAACTTTCCTGGTGTGCTGAACTGTTTCTATGGAAGCAGACTGATTTCCCCCCACTTTGCCACAGAGGAGGGAACTTTCCCATAAGTGAATGGGAAGCTTTGAGAAGTATATTTCTAGAAAACTTAAAATGGATTACATTCTTATTATATAGTTGGGTACGAATGTATATTTTCATTGTGGTAAGAGTTCTTACTCTCCTTCCCTGGACATGTCCTTCTTCAAGTCCCCTCCCCCCCCCGCCCCATGTTGTAAAATCAAATGTAAAATCATTAGAATACAAGTTTATGTATTCTAATGCATGTTAGAAAATTTGAATATATAGGAAACAAGACTGCATGAAGAAAAGTGCATTGTTACTGTGCAGTTAAATTTTGGCTTCTGGCTTCCTTTAGCTTGAACAACATCCTTGTCTGCCCTGATGGATAGTAATAGATGTCATCTCTGCAACAGAAACAGAATGGTGGTGGCGAATTTCTAGAATGTTTAAAAAAAACACACACACACCCATGTGCCTTTTCAAAACCAACTAAACTTCTATAAAGCATCTCTAGTTCTTTCAAAATTTGTGTTGTAAGCAGTGTAGGTGATGCTGTAGTACTTTACATTTTTTTGCCTATAATGACAGCTACCAATTCTTTTTCACTTAGATTGAGAAATTTCATTTAATGGCAGCTGAAGGGCCATTTTCAATTGGGAAAATTCATGTATATCTGTGGTAAACTTTATTTTGATAAAAAGTTGCACTAGTAATTTTACCACCAGATGAAAACAAGATGAGCATCATTTAAAAATTAATGTATTTAAAACAAAGTACAGAGAAAAACATGTATATAATATATCAGGCTTTGTTTTGAATGAATCTTTTCCCCCAATCCTTAATATAAAGATCGTGTGCTATAATTTTTAAAGCCATACAAATAAGAATGCTAAACTGTGGACTTAAAAGTAGGTGTGTAAATATTTTTAATCAGTATTACATGGAAAATAAAATATAACAACTACAGAAAATAAACCAATATGCTCTTTTCTTTACCTGTTAAATATTGGGAGATACTTATATTTTTAAAGTAAACTTTAAAATTAAAAAAAAAAAAAAGAGGAGGATTCCCTCAGCAATAGGTATGTGGGAAGGACCCCGAGTTTGCTGCCTCAAGTGGAATATACAGCGAGAAGCCCTAACGTGAAAGGAGGCCGGATTTCCTTGCAGTGGCTTGAATACAGGCTCGTCTTTCATCTCACAACATGAAGGGATGTCTGAATCCCCTGTGGAGACCTTAGAGAAAGCCCTAGGTCCCTGCCTCATTTTGACGGAAGGCCTCACATCTCGTTGACACCTCGAGAGGCACGCGGAGTTCACTGCTTCAAAAGGTGACGATGCCTGACTCCTCTTGAATACTGATAGGAATCCCAAAATCCCTGTGGCTACAGGAAAGGGTCCTTGGGGGCCCTGCCTCACCTCGAGAAGCGTCCCTTTTGCCTGGCCAAGCCTCGAAGAGATTCGTGAGGTGTCCCTCGTTACTAGACAGGAGTCCTGACGTCACTGAATAAACACGTGTTTTGAAGGGCCATCCCCGCCGTAACTCGAGAACATACCCCAGGTCCCCGCCGCAACTCGAGAAAAACCATGAGACTTCACCTTAGATGCGATATGAGGCCCGATTCCACTGCATTGCTTGCAGAGCAATTCCGTGATCCCCATTAAACAAGTCAGGAGCTTCGACTTGCTTAATGGATCTCGAGAGAGTCCCCAAGTACACTGTCACAAGTCTAGACGGATCCTGAGGTCACCCCAGCAACGCACAGCAGCTCCATGTGCCCCAAATCAACTCCAGATGAGGCCCGATTCCCCTGCATTGACTCCAGAGCCATCCCCCGTTCCACATTCAACACGACCAGTCGCTTGACTTCCTTCAGGAACTCCAGAGATGCCCAGAGAACACTGTTCCAAGTCTAGAGGAACACCAACTTCAGCACAGCAACTCGAGGAATGCTCCGTGTACCCCAAATCGTCTCGAGATGAGAGCTGATTTCCTGGCTTTGGCTCAAGACGTATGCCAACTCTCCAGAAGCACCTCAAGAGTAGGCTTCTCTCAGAAATAGGTGTGTGTGACGGACCCCGAGTTTGCTGCCTCAAGGGGAATATACAGCGAGAAGCCCTAACTTGAAAGGAGGCCGGATTTCCTTGCAGTGGCTTGAATACAGGCTCATCTTTCATCTCACAACATGAAAGGATGTCTGAATCCCTTGTGGAGACCTTAGAGAAAGCTCTAGGCCCGTGCCTCATTTTGACGGAATGCCTCACATCCCGTTGACACCTCGAGAGGCAGGCGGAGTTCACTGCTTCAAAAGGTGACGATGCCTGACTCCTCTTGAATACTGATAGGAATCCCAAAATCCCTGTGGCTACTGGAAAGGGTCCTTGGGTGCCCTGCCTCACCTCGAGAAGCATCGCTTTTGCCCTGGCAAGCCTCGAAGAGATTCCGGAGGTGTCCCTCGTTACTAGACAGGAGTCCTGACGTCAGTGAATAAACACGTATTTTGAAGGGCCATCCCCGCCGTAACTCGAGAACATACCCAAGTTCCCTGCCGCAAATCGAGAAAAACCTTGAGACTTCCCCCTAGAGGCGAGATGAGGCCCCATTCCCCTGCAGTGCATGCAGAGCTATTCCGTGATCCCCATCAAACAAGTCAGGAGCTTCGACTTGCTTAATGGATCTCGAGACAGTCCCCAAGTACACTGTCACAAGTCTACACGGACCCTGAGGTCACCCCAGCAACGCACAGCAGCTCCACGTGCCCCAAATCAACTCGAGATGAGGCCCGATTCCCCTGCCTTGACTCCAGAGCCATCCCCCGTTCCCCATTCAACACGACCAGTGGCTTGACTTCCTTCAGGTAACTCCAGAGATGCCCCGAGAACACTGTCCCAAGTCTAGAGGAACACCAACTTCAGCACAGCAACTCGAGGAATGCTCCGTGTACCCCAAATCGTCTCGAGATGAGAGCTGATTCCCTGGCTTAGTATCAAGACGTATGCCAACTCTCCAGAAGCACCTCAAGAGGAGGCCTCTCGTTCCCTGCGTGAGTGCCGGCCCGGTCCGGTCGGGGGAGAGGAGGGAGGGCGGGGGAGGGAGAGGCGACCCGGGAGTCGTTGTGGGCCGTGGGCCGGACCTGGTCCCGGGAAGGCGGGAGCCAGGGCCGGGCCGAGGGGCTTGGCGGGCCGTTAGCGGGCCGCGCCGGCTGTAGGGTCTCCTCCCCTGCCGGACTTGCGCGCCCCGGCGCTAGGAGCGTCCGGTGCTGTGCCCACCCCGCTCCAGCTCGCGTCTCCTGACTCCAGTTAGGTCAGGCTCGGAGTCCCGTGGCCGCGGCTCTGGCCCCCAACGCGCGGCGGCCGCCCGGCTCGCCTTTCTTTCTTCCCTCGCCTTCCTCTCCTCTTGCCTCACCCTCCCCCTTTCTTTCACGTTGCTGGGGTTTTGCTTTTTTTGTTGTTATTTTGTGCTTTAGGGGTTTTGTTCCTCAGCCCGAGCTCATGGGTGTACATTATCATGCTCCTCTTTTGTAGAGCAACCGGACGGCCATGGAGGCCGAAGAGACGATGGAATGCCTTCAGGAGTTCCCTGAACATCATAAAATGATCCTGGACCGATTGAATGAACAGCGAGAGCAGGACCGGTTTACTGACATCACCCTGATTGTCGACGGACACCATTT